CCTTGGCACCAGATTCGCTTATCCTGTTTTGAGCTTTAATCCAGTTTTTGAATTGCATCCTTTTGATTTCAGTTTCACTGTTTCTGAATGACACAGAGTGATACTCATTTATCAAACTCGGAAACAGTAAAGGTGATTGACCCGATTTGGACTCGAACCCGGAACTTTTTAGTTATGAGTTCAACTGAGTATCCGTAGTGTACCTTCGGAGTAGGTATTTCAGACTGCTTCAAACCATTTCTGACTTCGAACCAGTTAGAGAGAGTGGAATGCAGCAGTGCCCTCACACAATGTTCAACATCAGGAAACAGGGAATTGTATCAAGCAGGTTTGAAATCGATTAATGCTAAAAGTTATCTTAGCTCATGTCAGTGCAAGCTATTAATGTGAACTCTGTCTATTTGCAGAACTAATGCCTAGAGTGTTCAACTTTAACGTCGGCTTGCTTGGTCATGTTGACAGTGGCAAGACAAGTTTGGCCAAGGCGTTGAGTACGAAGAAAAGTACGGCTGCCTTCGATAAGAACCCTCAGAGCCAGGAACGAGGCATCACACTAGACCTTGGTTTTTCAACATTCTCGATCGAATGCAACCCGGAGTTGAAAGCAAAAGATAGCCGTTTTAGCAACTATGATTTAATCCAGTTTACACTGGTCGATTGTCCTGGGCACGCATCCCTAATACGAACGGTCATAGGAGGTGCCCAGATAATCGACTTAATATTGTTGGTAATAGACGTGATGAAGGGAATACAGACCCAGACTGCCGAGTGCATTGTGCTTGGTGAAATCTGCTGCCCCGGTCGCATGGTAATTGCGTTGAACAAGGCTGACCTGCTGCCTGAAGACAGTTTTGACGAAGCGGTCGAAAAGCAGCAAAAGAAGTTTAACAGGGTACTTTCCGAGACGAGTTTCAGAAACTGTGAGATCGTACCGTCGTCGGCCGTTGCACTTCACGATAGTCCGTTGATTATTAAGCTACTCGACGTTCTGAAAAACAGTTTGTACTTCCCTGACAGAAGCTGCGGTGGCGATTTCTTGTTCGCGGTGGATCACTGCTTCAGTTTGCGAGGCCAGGGAACAGTGATGACCGGTACGGTGCTTAATGGCGATGCCAAACTGGGGGATTTGATCGAAATTCCTCAGTTGAAGGAATCCAGGAAACTTAAGTCTATTCAGGTGTATGGTAATCCGGTTAATTCTATATCTCAGGGCGACCGTGCGGGCATCTGTGTACCCCAACTCGATGCGAAAGCCTTTGAACGAGGCCTGATTTGTAAAAATGGCGCTGTTACCCTAATTTACGCTTGTATCGTATCAGTGCAGCGAATTCGGTACTTCAAACAGCCGATCCTTTCAAAGTCGAAATTTCACACCAGCATCGGTTACGAAACGGTGATGGCAAAATGTAGCTTCTTCCAGTGCGTCTACGACGACTGTCATTGTTCCGACACTGGCGATTTCAATATGTCTCAAGAATATCTGTTTATGGACTCGCTGGAGGA